AATATAATAGAATTGACGGAGCAACGGAGGTATCTATGAAAACGTGCATTAGCTGCGGTAATAATACCTTCATATTTGTGTATTGAAATCTTTTATAATACTGATCACGTCCTTATTTTAAACAAACTAATCGAATTTGCCAGTCATTTATGTTAATCTATTGTAAATTCGATTAATTTTTTTCTAAAATTAAATATTTTGCTATAATATGTATACTATTATATATTTTTTTGGTATTAAAACAACAAATGCGTGTACGCGAACGCACGTCGCAGTCGCGTAACTGTGTTTGCTCGGAAAATGATTGTGCTATTTTTTCTTATTATTTTACATACAATCCTCTCGATACACATCGTCTGAATATCCGTTATATAATTTAAAAAAGACGCCATATGCCCTGAATACGTATGTATACCCACAGAAATAATAATATAATGCAAACAACAGAAAGACATAAATGTGATATCCAATTTGTTATGGTATATCAACATACAAATATATCATAAAAACATTACCCGTCTTCCACCCATAGACAATTCGTATGTGCTAAAAACCGTAAAAATAATATTTAATATAACATATTATGCTAAGTCGAGACAATAAATATAAAATTGACAGCACTTTAGAATTGCAGCAATTGTGTGCAAAATTCTTGTTTATATAGGTAAAAAATGTAAATAGTTATACAGGCATAAATATACTGCAACCTTATATATATATATATACTGGAGATTTTTTAGGTAGTGTTCAAGTAGTAGAAATCCGTTAAACAAGCATTTTGTTTATTAATTAGAACAATTCGTAAAAAACTGTTCAAGTTCGATACCTGCGTGTGCATTCGTTCCAGATAGATGTTGTAACAGGAAATGCGCGGTAACATTATGCTTGACGAGTCACGAGTTTGAATGAGACGTAGAGATTTCTCGAAAAATAGAAATATTCATTTTTTGGTTCTATTAGTCGGTGCAGATATAGTATTAATATATGTATTAATAACATGAACGAAATGCTTATTTATAATAATTAACGTGAAATTATAACAATAATTTGTAAATCTAAACTCGTCTTAAATTTATAGTTTAAAAAAACTGTATAAGTAACTATAATATATAATGTTTATATAATTCCTAATATATTTAGTAACAATATTAATCATGATGTCAATATATAGTATAGTATAGAAGCTAGGTATTAGAAAAACGTTTTTATGTAAATTAAATGTTAAGCTATATAAATTTAAATTTATTGACAATAATGTTTAAATAAGTTAATTTAACGAACCCATAATTTGTTGTATTTAATATGTTATGTGTTTCTATGTAAATCAGCGGTTTTAAATCATTTTATATCCACGTACCACCTTTACAGTTTGAAAATTTTCACGTATCACCGGACTTAAAAACTTTTATTTTCACTTATAAAAAATGTATACATTATTTTACATGTATAGAATTTTATTTTACTTGGAACAAAAAAATGATGACAATATATATATAAGTATTTAATGCACAAAAAAAAATTAAATATGTTTCATTATTATTCTTATTGTTATTATAATTGTTATGGATTACTTTAATGAGACGGTTGGTGTTATTTTGAGCGAACGATGATGTCAATATCGGGCTCCATGTTGGTAATTTTTAATCACTTTATACGTTTGATTTATTTCTATAGTTATTTTTTGTGTAAAGTAAGTATAAAATACATTTTTGTACTGATATGTTTACACAAAAATTATTAGAAATTGTAAAGCTTATAAAGACAACGCTCAGTATTTCACGTTCAACCAAAAATTTGAGATCATTTTGTAATGAAAACAATTTTTAGAACAGAGTCACTGGTTAGGTCAACGAATGATTCTTTTGATAAAATAATACCTGAAATGTTCTTAATATAATCCTCTTCGAAAAAGTTTATGATACATCTCATTTCTGAATTACCCTCATGGAAATATTGTGAAAAGTATAGGATTTTAGTGATCGCTGGTGTTCCGGAATATCTGTAATTATATTTGAATTTGACTCAATTTCGTTGTTTTCCCAAAATTTGTTTAGTGTCTTGAATGCTGAAAAATGATTCTTGGGTACTATCAAATTAAATAAATCTAACGTTTTTACGAATGCATTTACCTTATCACTAGCATAAAATATGTTTGTATTTGAGCCTTGTCGACTCAAATTTACTACATTTAAATGATCAAAATTTCAGCTAGTTTTGGCAGTCAATCGTCATCATAAAAAACAATTTGAACTCTCTTATTCAATATCAGTTAGAAGTAATAAAAACTTTTGTTTATAAAAGGAAATTTTCTGCGCGTACTACCTTTGAGTTTTCTGTGTATCACTATCAGGGCCTTCGCGAGGGGGGAGGGGTTGTAGGAGGGACACCCCCCACAGCGTTTTAGTTGGGCCCAGTTATCACAATGTTTTATCATCGATACATTGAGTCGGCGATTTAATAATATTTTAAGTATTTTAATATTTAACTATAAATAGTATTTATATTACAAAATAAAATTACGAATTCAATTCATACTCAGCGATACAATTTAAAAAAATTAAGTAAAGGTCAAATGAGAACCTTATACAATTACTTGTGTGTTAATATTTTGTTTTAGTTAAAAATAATTGGATCAGAATTCTTAAGTTCAATATAATTTAATATGTTTTCATCATATCAAATATCAATGTGTAATTTAATATACTTCGCGGTACTCTTTGAATTTATCCCACATCACATCAGTGGGTCGTGAAACAGTGGTTAAGAACATGGTATAGTAACATAGGTATATGATAAAAATCAAAAAGAGAAATCGAGAAAATTGAGAAATAGGTATGTACCATATTATAAAGACATTTATCATGACAAATTTACGTAGATTAGGTTACGTAGGTTAGGTGGATTTCATAGCATGGCCATGCCGTTGGCGGCCGCTTTATCCAAGGTCAATTTGTCGTCGGCGGCGTCGTCGGTAAAATAATATGAAATATTATTTGAGCAAGCATCCAGCATGTAAAAGGTTACAAACAGTGATACCAACTTTTGATAAATAAATTTTTAAAGTAATATATAATTATATTGTTTAATAATGAATTCAGTTAATCGTTAAACATGCATCCAATAGGTTGGTTGCCACCTAGTATTACTAATAGTGTCGCACAGTCCGTACAGTCGAATTTAGAAAATTCTAAAAATGATGTGGAAACAAATAAATACAAAGGTAACGGAGGAATTACTTTACCGGGAACAAATTTTGTAGGACCAGGTAATAAATTAGTAGATTCAAATGGAAAAGCGAATTTCAATCGTCTACCGGATCATTGCGCTGATTGGGTAGCAATGGAACATGACGCTGATTATTATAATGCAAGTATTACACACCGTAATCAGATAAACGAAATTGAAAAAATAGATAACAAAGCTATTCAAACGGCATGGAAGGAGTGTTTAAGTAACCAACCATTTACAACAGCGGCTCTAGTGGCAGGTTTGAAAGCTAAAAATCATATGGAATTATTGGCAGAACAATCAGTGTATCCATTCGGCTCGAACGAAGCGGTCTATCCAGGTTCTACGTCTACAGCAAGTTCACCTATAACGTGGTTCACAAAAGCAAAATCAAGGCGTAGATTTGAAGTTGGTAAGCATGACTTTTCGATATCTAGGACCCCCACCTCCTTTTAGAAGTAATTGGTCGTCATTAAATTCTTCACAAAAAAGATACGCAATTGAACAACACAACATTGCTAGACGTAGACGTAATTTACCACCTTATGTTTTAGGACAAGAGCCAATAGAGGAGGTGGGAGAAGATAATACGAATATATTTCGTGTACCTGACAATTGGGATTGGAAAACAGATCCTGATCTAAAAGAACATAACAATATTAAACAAATACAACCGAAAATTATTGATTCGATGAATATATCGTCAACAAGTGGAACGCAAGGAGTTAAGCGAACAAACGATGCTTCGCCATCAACCACCGATGCAAAGAAGACAAAACTTCCTGGTACGGGGGATGCGAATGATGGTGACCCAGATACTGGGAATCCTAGCACTCAAAATGCTGTGTTGGATCGTCCAATTCCTAACACAACAGGACACATTATGGTATTTAGAAAAAATCACTCACTTATTAGCTACGGTGTGGCAAGCGTTCAGCTCACACTTGATGGATTTGCTTCTGAACGTGTGGGCACAACAGGTCTGATGTATTTACCGGTTGATAAACCATATTTTTATTTGTCACCATCAGAATTTAATAGTATTGTTTCCAATATACGAGGCGTAAGGGTTAAAGAAGTCAAAGTCAAAGTTGTCATGAGAAATCCGAGAACAGCATTTGAAACAAATGCAAGTACATCGACCTTGGCAACATTGAATCAGAATAAATTTATACAATACGCTCAAGGTTTAGTAAATAAAACCAGAGGATTTAACACTGTTTACAAATTCGAATCGGGAACAAATACCATGAAACCAACCAAAGTAAACACTGTTGATGATTCATTTGTTAAAAAAATAGTGTCTGCTATGTACGGAACTGACAAAGATGATTGGTTGAAACCAAATTGGAAAGAAGGTGCAACGTTACCGTGTTCACTTATGAATCTACCGATGCAATTTCCAGTTTATTACACAATGTACGCTAATAATGCTCAACACGATGGTAAATTAGGTTGGCCTATATTTAATCAACACGTAACTAAGTGTGATGCTAGTACCATGATTGGGAAAACTGTACTAAACTATTCGTATAAACCGAAAGTTAGTTTTTTAAGTGCACCGTGGACACCTGTACACAATGGTAGAAATACTACTAAAGGTACAAATGTTACGGATTTCATTGTAGCAAATACAGGACCAATGGTTATTCCCGATGTAACAACAGTCAATGCTCACACCGGTTTAATGCAAAGAAAACAAGTAAACTTTGAATTGTTGCAAAATTCACAATGGAATCAAATTTTTACGGACAATTTTGACCGTTATTCGGAACCATTAGAAATGAGTCAATACGTTAAACGTTCTTTCGGTGAATCCAACTATGGAACAGTTCAACCTTCGCTACACGTCGGAGTGTGTGCTGTACCTCAATTAACTACAACGAATGTAGATTTAGTACCAGATAAATTTTTTTTATTATAATCTCGTAAAAATGGTGCAGATATCCAATTATACAATCTAATTCTGCTTTGAAATGCACTCATACCAAAAATGGACAACATTTCATTAGTCAGTATAATTATTGGTGGACCTTGTAATGGGGCGTCACCTTGATATTTTACGTGTACTCTGGTAGTATCTCCCGCTAATAATTCTTTTAATTTTTCAATATGAACAGCTTCGTAATTTGGTTCATTCCAAAGAACTAACCTTTTACCTGCTGCTTCTTGAAAAGCAAATTGATTAGTTTTATTAGCAGTACCTATACTACCGTAATTTATAAAAAAAGCAGCAATGGGGTCAAAGAAAAAATTTTTACCAGCATTTGGTTCTGCATGTATAGCGATTGTATTTAACTTTGGAATTCTTTTATCGATAACGTTTAATAAGTCAGTTAAAAAAATATGAATATTTTCAGTGTTATTATTAAATTGATGACGTAATAATTTATCAGCAATTTCTAATGAAGTTTCTACGTCATAATAAACATCAGTTTGAATTCGATTATAAGCGTTAAAATATGGTTTTACTTTAGGATCGGAATAATAATTATCAAAATCTTTTAAAGTCCACCAATTTAATTTAGCACACCAATTCCTAATGTCACGTTGTGCATCTTTGCTATCAGTATACATCCAATTCAAATTTGTGTTATTAAAAAATTCTTTTATGTTTAAATACGCGTGTGGAGGACATGTCGGATATTCGTATAAGAGCTGAGATATCGTTAACGGACCGTTCTCCTCGCAAATGGGTTGGCTCGCCTTTTTGGAACTAGTTTTGCGTTTGGTCCCAGTTGTATTTCTTGTGTCATTGATTTCACAAGACACTTTGTTCTGTATACCAATGGATTGTTCGCACTGAACGTCGCACGACACCTCACTTCCGCTCCCATCCAATAGTCCTGTTTGTCCCGATCTACGATATCTCCTTTCCTAGTTACAAATAAGTTTTAATACAACACTTATTTATTATTTGTTCAATTTGCTCATTGGATAATAATTTATAAGTTTGTTTAATTTGTAACGTAATATTATTTGCTATATCTGTGTTTATTGGAGCGTGTACAAATGTACATTTTGAACATCTTTTATGATAAAATATATATTCGTTGAATTTTGACGATGCAGTAAAATCGAAAATATTAAAAATTTCTAGAAACTCAATGCTCGATGAACATAAATTACGCATAAAAATATAAGCGTCATTGTAATCTAAGTTCAAAACATTTTGAACTGCAGATAACATTGGAGAGTTATATAAAAGAGCAGTTGTATTCCATTTCAATGGAGTATTAGTAATCTTTTTTTTTGATAATGGTCTAATATAATTAATATAATAATTGTATTTGTTTAATTGCATAAAACGTTGTTTCAATAAATATTGCCTCAGTACATACCGATAAATGTTTATATCGATCACGTAATCGTTCATCTTCTGCGAAGCCACCAACTCCGTGGACGAATCTAGGGGCTTTAGATAGGTATCTAAGTATGTTGACGTAGTCGATTGGTTGGAGTTGACTTGCCCTAGTAATTCTGCGAAGTCTACGTCTTCCATACTTTGCCCAAGCTGTCGATCGTTGTAACCATTGGCATCTACAAGATTCATTTGAGTTGGGGCAGATGTGGGACACGTGGATATGATCTCCGTGACTTGAGTAGATAAACCAGTGCTTAGGTGGGTATCGCTCAATAAGTTTTTCAATTTCTTCGATTGCTCTATGAACTCCATCAGGTCCATCTGGCACAATGAGGGAAGAGACGTACTTGTGTATTCCTGACACAGGTTTACAATATATTGAACGTGCATATTGGTGTACGACATCTTCAAACTCTTCCTCAAATAGGTCAACATCTGCGTCATCTCCTCCGACTGCATAATCGCCAATTCCGTCCACCAAGTCTGTATATTTTGTGCTGTCCAACGAATCGGATGATAAAGAGTCTACACAAACATTGGACAATGTACTGCCCAAATAATCAAAAGGACCGCCGGATGAAATGTACCGTCGCTGTTGTTCTGGATTATTTCGCATAATCCCACCAATTGATCGTCCTCCGTTATTATATTCTTTCCCATTTTTTTCTCGCAGAAATTGAATAATTTCGTTACTGGCGTCTCTTTTAACAGATTCGTCATCTGTTCCGGAGTCTCCTTTTTCTTCTTCGATTGAGCAACGGTTTTTGTCGAGTTCTTCCTTTTCTTTGAGCCATCTGTACCATGTACTGCAGTTGATTCCTTGTTCTGTTCCATGTCGGATACTATTACTTCTGCGTCGCATAATTCGTTTTCATTTACAAAAAACATTGTATTAAAACTATATTCGAACACTGTAAGTCAGCTTTTTGTAAGTCTTACTGGTGTCGGTTTTATAACAAAATTATAACACTGTAAGTCAGCTTTGGGTAAGTCTTACTGGTGTCGATTTTGTTATACTGAATTATGTTTTCATTTTTTGCCTTTATATATGATTTGTATATCAGTAAATATATGTAAACAATTTATTTTATGCTTAGTAATCATAAAAAATAAACATTAAAAAATGTGATAAATACAATTGTACTAATAATTTAAAGTGTTTTATTTAAAAACAACTGATAACGCGTAACCTTTTACATGCTGGATGCTTGCTCAAATAATATTTCATATTATTTTACCGACGACGCCGCCGACGACAAATTGACCTTGGATTAAGTGATATTGTAATAAATTAATTAAAAGTCAATTTATCTTTTATGGGAACTCCTAAATATCAGTATTTCAAATACCGTAGACATGAGGTCAGGGCCGGATCTAGGGGGGGGGGGAAGTCGGGGATTTATCCGCGGGCGTAAAATTTTAGAGGGTGTAATTTTCGTAATTATTAACAACTAATTTGATATTTTTAACTTCGTTAAATACTGATATTAGGTTAAAACTCAATAAGTACGATTGTATATTGATTATAAGAACACAATTTATTTGAGTATTTGTTTATTAGTCTATAGATAGGGCGTAATTTTAACATTTTACCCGGGCGTAAAAATTCCTAGTTCCATGAGGTATTAGGTATGACGGCTTATACTTTATTATTTTTGATTAATATTTATTTGTATAGAGTTTAACGAACAATATTTTCTAGAATCAGTACAAAGCAAGTGGACTTTTTAATTACACGATTCACTACGTAGGTAATGTAGGTAGGTTTTTTAGAAAAAAAAATATGTAAGCAGAAAAATTATCTGAGTTTCATAATTTACATCCATATAAAAGATAAAATTAGATAAAGTAATAAATTCATAAAAACATATAAGTAAGCTAGAATTTTAGCAAAATATTTATTAGAATTGTTAAAGTTTGTTAAAAGTCGATTTTTCTAGAATAATTGAATTCTCAATTAAAATTATATTTTAAAATAACTTGTGTTGGGCGTGTAAAGTAGGTACTGAAGTGAGAATATTATAACAGAGTCTCCTTTAAGTCTGAATGTCACTATATTTTTCTTTTTCTTTAAATAAGTTAAAAAAAAAACTTTTTTCCAATAAAATAAATATTGTTAACTTTTTTTTAACGTATGACAAAAGGTTATAGGTAAGAAATAGTATTAACTGATAAAATAAAAAATTATTTCTTGTCTACTGTTGTCAAGACCGAATATGTGAAAAAAGTAAAAGTTATGAATTAAACAATTATCGTTTTTTTTTTTTTAAGTAGTCATTAATACAATGACTAAAGAATAAAGAAAGATAACACATAACGTTATTTTATTATTCTATAGCTATACAATTAGTATTTTATTCATATACATTAATCATGTTTTGTTGTTATAATATGTCCTAAAATATAATTCGATGAATAATGGTAATTATTATTAAGATGAAATACATCTTGAAAAAATATTTTATTAGTAAAACATTTGCCATTAATACAAAATTACATTTGTATTAAAAAGTAAGTTAAAAACTAAGTACTCACAAAAATAAATTGTCATTTTAAAATTTTATTAATTTAAATAGTATTATTATCAACTAATATGACTAATGATAAATATTGATTCCAATATTTTGAAAATTCTAAATTAGAGATGTTTTTAATTTTTTAGAAACTATTTATCACGATCATTATCTTATATTGAGTAGCTATTGGCTACTTAATATTACTATTAAATTAATTTGATTTCGTTAAGAAAAAAATTTTATTTTTATATTTCACTATATTTCAAAAATGACAAAACGTATAAACTTGAACCTGAAACTTAACATAGTAGTTTTTCTAATACTATAAAGATGTCTAATAAGAAACAATATTTTAAAAATCTTATTTTTAAGGAACAAAATAGTGTTGTGGTGTATTTATAATTTTTTTTAACTATTTTGATAACCTAAGAAGTATGTATAAAAATGAATATATATAATTTTTTTCACTTTTTGGAACCTTAAATTAACCTAGGATAATTTGCTAAATATTTTGGTTTTAATAAATCCGTTTGAGGTATATGTAAATGAATAGTATAAATAAATAAAAATAAATATTATTAGAATATAAGATAATTGTGTTTTTTAATTTTTTTTTTTTTCATCGAAGTATTAATTACTCTAATAAGAAACAATAAATTATCTCCCTGGCAAGGCCGGGTAATTTAGCTATAGTGTGTTATAAGATACCTAAAATTGTATTTAATATGCTTCAATTAAATAATTTACCTGTTTTTAAATATTTTTAGTTATAACTTACCTACAATTTATGTACAGATATCGTTCTGTGATATGAACATTATATTTTTTTTTAAAAAAAGTGTTGAAGTATAGATTCATTATTTTAATAGTACTAACATCACGAATAAATATTATTGAAATTATAAAAATAAATATCTATATCACATAATTATATTACATAACAAACGTAACGTTCGTGTTGTAACTAAACAAACGTGATGCTTTCACTCATCAGCAATACATACCTTTACGGCTGTACTGCTTCTTGTTTATTGTATATACGATATTGTACTCACTCATAGGCGCTGTTTGGACAGCAGCTTCTCCTACTAAAACAAAAATAAATTTAAACTCTCCAAAATAAATTCATCATGATATGCCAAAAAGCACCATAGTTTATGAAGAGCCGCTAAATCTACAATGATACTGGAATACCTCTAATAAGTGTCTGGATTAAAATCCTGTTCAAAAATGTCTACGCCAAGCTTAAAGACAGACGGAGCCCGCCATTACCAACTAGGAAGCAAAACCCGAAATAGATAATTGCTACCTTAACTGACCCAAGACATCCTCCAACGGATATTGATGAACTCTCATCAGAAGATGAACAATAGATTTTATCATTATTATCATTATATAAATATAAAAATAAACTAATTAATTGTAATTGTAATAACACATAATATGCTGAAACATCTTAAATATAATAAACGGAAAAAACAAAGTACCGCAGATCAAGTTTCTACAAAAATGCCACCAGTTCAATGTTCATCTACGTTTTTGTTGCTTTATTTAGCCAAGTTCCATTTATTTTACAAATATGTGTAGATATTTGTTTTGAGATTCCCAATTATATAATTCACTTCTTACAACATCGTATGTAGATCAATTCAATTGTAGTATTTATTATAACAATATGGGACCTAGGAGTAGGTAGTATTTCAAAATTAAATATACAATTTTTCCCAAGTATCATGATTATAAAATAACATTAGCTGCTGGTGAGGTTTTTCAGACACTTAGGTAGGGTGATAACAAATCAACACCAAATATTTTATATGTAAAAAAATGTAAAATGGGAGGAGGATAATTGTGGTATTCAGACAACGATTTGTCGTATGTATTATATATATATTATATATCGAAATAAAATAATAAAAGTTAAACTAGGAGTAGCTCGTATATTGGATATATTGAGTTAACTGCAATATAAATAAAAGCACCTACTTAGGAGAAGGACAATTACATTCTCTTCTTTAATTATTAGTATGCTATAATTCATAGTATAGGTACTTAACAGACAAACATATTATGTACGCTTTAGAATTATATGAGTAGGAGGTATAACATTGTATGCTCCTTTCATAAAATGTTGACCAATAAGACTATCAGACCTACACATAGACATAAACTGGAGGGGGGCAAGAAGGCAATTGCCCCCCTAGAATAAATTAGGAGGGGCAGTACCCCTCTGATATTTAACATACCTTGTTTTAAAATAAGTACAAAACAGCTGGTTATAGTTATTACTATACATTTTTTTTTTAAATCTTAATTTTAAATTTTCGCTTATCTAACATAATGTTAGAAAATGAATAATTTTATACAATAATATGTAGGTAGTAAAGCGGCGTTAAGCCTCGGACACCCTTTTCGTTAGATATGTAATTATATTTTTGCACCCCCTAATGAATTTCCAAGTTACGTCTATGGACCTACAGAAGGCATGTACATCATAAATATAAAAAAAAACGTTTCTTACCGTCTTTCAGAGTAATGTTTTTGTTTTTTCGAGCAAATTTACATTATCGAGTCTGCAATTCTGCCTCAAATGACTTTCGTATTTCTATCATATTTTTTTTTCTCGACAACGATACCCTTTCTAGATCGATGTAAATGTTTGAGAGTTTTATTCTGATTAGGCAATGATTTATGATGTATTGTTCATCACACTATTTTTTTATCTTAATAATGTATGAATATTTGTGTGTTTTTGATTCCGTTCCTCGGTTATACAACTTATTTTTATTAAATTACATCTATCTATATTTATTATTTGAACGAACGCATATAAATATAATTCTATGAAAAAATAACAACTATTTATGCTCACAGATAATGCCAAAAACTTGGAATGGTGGATCTGAACCCGGCTAAGGAACCAATGTTAGAAGATGGTCGGACAGCCCTGCACTATGCCTCGTCGATGGGCGACTGCAGTTCCGTTGCCGAATTACTGGCCACTGGATCTGTGGATGTTAACGCGCGAGACGCCGTCGGTTATTCGGCCGTGCAGATCGCCGCGGCCGAAGGTCATCTGGACGTGTTGCGACTGCTGCTACGACACAATGCCGACGTCAATTTACACGACACCTTGGTAAGTAACTCTGAAATACTATTTAATTTTATTGTAGGTAGGTCGCATATTATTATATGCAAGGTTGGATTTATGCGTAGACAATATAAACTACAGCCTATGGGCCTGAACCTTTACAGGGTCCTCATCACACATTCAACTATAAACAAAAAAAGCTATGCCTAATAATTAAATAATATAATTATGCTTGAACTTCACGCTTAATTATAAAGTTTGATCAACTTCGTTATACATTTGATATGAAAAATACACAAAATCGCAAACTATTTTCAATTAATGAAGTAGGATAGATTACACTGTTAATTCCAAAATCAGCTCAAGCTCAAAATATAGTTAATAATAATAATAATAATATGATATATATTTATAAAATATTTTCTTAAGCTATTAAATACAATATTTTCTAGTCTTAGAATTTTTTTATAATTAATTTTAGTTTAGTTTTTAATTTAATTTAAAGTCAAATCTGGTTTTATAAAATCAATCACGTTTCAATTGGTGAACAATCAACTGTAGTGAGCCCTATTTTTACTGATATATATTTTAAATACATAGTGCTGTATTGATATAGTTATATTATATTTTTAGAAAACGATTTGTATTTTATAGCACGGTAATACGGCATTGCATGAAGCCAGCTGGAAGGGTTACAGCAAAACGGTGGCGTTGCTCGCATCTTCCGGCAGTGATTTGAACCGCAAAAATTACGGAGGGTCATCAGCGTTGCATCTGTGTTGCCAGAACGGACACAATCAAAGCTGTCGGGAACTTCTACTTGCCGGATGCGACCCAGATGTCCAAAATAACGTAAGCTGAATGAATATTAATTTATATTTGTAATAATATACATTTATAAATACATTGTTCTTATTCAACAATAAGATTTAGACGTTTTCATACGATAATCCGGATACTCTGATGAATTATACATACTAGTGTTATTTATATTAATTAAATAAATTGTTTTTTTTTTTTTAATGTTATGATTCTTTTATTGTATTTATAACACTGATCGTCAGTATAATAAATAATAATACACATTCGAGTACTACAGTAATATACAACACAATGTATTGTTATGTTCCTGCTATTAGAGAAAATTAAATTACGAACAATTTAATAATCAACTCATTTATTTCTTGTATATGTATATTTGTAGTTCTTCCAGTCAATATTTTATATAATTTATCACTTGTTTAATCTTATTAATTCCATCAATTAAGTACAATATCATTTTATTTTTCAATGTACTTATGATAATTTTCACTATTACTTTACAAGAAAGTCAACCAATAGGACATAAACGTTTTTATGAAAATAATAAATATTTTAGTTTCACATTTCATAAGAAAAACCCCATTAAAAAAATGTAAACGCATTGGTATTTATTGTGGATACTAATTATTAAGCAATGCTTGAATTAGGAAAAATTAAGAAGGGAAGCTCACTCAATACAATGATTTAAAACTGTGTTCATAAAGGAATATTACTTGAAAAGAGTCGTGTGGGGCTTCGCTACCTCCCTTAACTACAAAGCCATAATGGCCTATGGTGTAAACACGAAATTTCACGTTAGATCTTAATCGTATAGGTCTTATACGTTTTAAAAATGTTTAAAATGAAGGCCTATTCAAATAAAATGCATGATAGGCCTGTTTAAGCCATTCACCACCACCTTACCTAAATGTTGTATACTACATTTCAGCTATACATATTTATAATATCCATAGATCTTATACGAATATGGTCTATGATAGTATCATATAAACAAACAATAAATAAAATATAAGACCATGCATCTGATATAAACAACCACAACAAGTAATAAAAGATAATAAACAATAAAAAATAGTGAAATTCATTGTATCGTTGATAACAATTTTATTTAAAATTTGAATAAAAAATGTTACGGGCTTAAATTTGGGGCATCCTCCGTCCCAGTAAAAAAATATAGTTGGGGTATGCAAAAAAGAAAAAAAAATAGTAGGGGAGCACCGTCCTCCTGCGCACCCTCCCCCTGCACAATTCAAGCACTGTTATTAGATATATTATGTGTTATGATTTTATTGATACATAATTTATATTTAAACCAATATATAAGACAATATATATAAATTAAATAGCAATAATAAAATTGAATTAATGTTTTTGCTATTTTGATATTTTACAATGTTTCAGTATGGTGACACTCCTCTTCACACTAGTGCCCGGTATGGACATGCTGGAGTACTAAGAATACTAATAAGTGCTAAAGCAAAAGTTTCTGAACAAAATAAAGTTAGTATTATATTTGTTTTCTTCAAACACCTATGAAATTTAAAGAATACCTATTTAAAATATGAGCTCTCAAACTAACATTTTGATTTAACATTTTGTGGGACAGAATGGTGATACGGTTCTACATATTGCCGCAGCTATGGCCAGGAAGAAATTAACTAAAATTATTTTACAAGCAAAATGTGATACTGCATTAAAAAATAAGGTAATTTAATAATTTTTTTTTATATATTTTATGTTATTTTTATTTAGTCCATTCGTGTGAAATATCCAAATGTAACGAAACATTTAAAAAACACAACTCAATTTATGTTGTAAAATAGAAAAATACTATTATGATTAAAAATTATAAATAAATATTTAAAAATACAAAAAATTGTTATTAATAACTAAATAAAGTAAATCCTCGAGACTAATTTATTTGTGTTATTATTATTTTACTTACATTTACATTATGAGATTTTTATCCAATATGCTTTTTAAATATTATCTTAATATTTTATCTCTTTATTTGGTTCTAGCAAAATGAAACGGCCAGTGACATAGCAGAACGCAAAAATTTGACTGATATTTTAGAAATTTTAAAGGATCCAATGTACAAAAAAAAAAGTAGCAGTTCTAAAATAAAAAAAGATTCAAAAGAAGTATGTAGATTATTAATTAAATTATTAAATACTAACTTTAATAATTGAATAAAACAATTTAGAGTAAAAAGCGAATCGATACAAGTATTAAAAAACAATGGTCTCCATATGGTTGTCATTATTTCCCGGATACCAAAGAGTTCCCAAAACCAAAATTGAACTCTTTGCCTGAAGATCCACTGCACGCAGGTGAACAATACTATCTTGATTTGGCTGGAAACATTAGAAAAGGACCAATTGGCGTGGGTTACACTTGTTATTGTGCACCGTTTTTCAAAGAATTAGAAGCTCGATTAGATCATAATACAAAAAAATTAAAACGGCAAATTTGTCGAACCGAAGACAATATCAACCGAAGATTATGTTCTGTAGAAAAACAACTAAAACGATCAAATGAAAAGCTTCAACAGGTATAAAAAGAAATAATTAAGTTTGCTTTATCATTTATAATTTATAATAACAGAAAATGATATCAAAATTTACTTGCACTATATTGAAAATTTATTTTATTTCTTATAATTTCTTCGGTTTAAAATTATTTTTGTTTTGTTCAATATGATACGATAATGAAAAACAGTATTTTTTATCAATTGTTTCAATGAAGTTTGAATTCAAATTTGATGTTTGCAGTCAGAATAAAAAACAGGTTTTTATTTTATTTGAAGATCTGATGTAAAAGTGTGCAAAGTTTTTGTATTTTATCCCTTAGTTACCCATTTTTTTTTTTTTATATAATCTTAATTTTTGTTTATCAATTAACGAATCGAAGAATTACATTTTATTTTACCATTTTATACAAACTGGTTTGTGTTTGATTAAACGGTTCAAACAATATATATAATGTTATAGTTAGTTATTTAAATATATCAGACGCATGAAAAAGAACCGTTCAATTTCAAGATGACAAATTACCGTGTCTACATATAATCGATATTCGCTGATCGAAACTCCTGATGAACTTGTTGTTAAAAACATGTATAAACACTGTTTGAACTTATTTTATGCAGGTGACCGAAGAGGTGAGCGACGACAGCGAGTTGGAGAACCGGTTTCGAACTGAATGTGCTATTGATACTACGGTCATGGACCCAAACTTGCGATGGCGACTGGATTATCTGACAGCTCGGCGTCATGATGATATACCGTGTAATGATTCTGGTTACAGTACCAAAATGTTTAGCAACTCGCAAGGCCCGTCGCCTTCATTATCTAGTAAGTGTGATTTTTGTAAAATTACTGTTATAAAAATCACTTTATTTATTACTAAAATGAATAGCTACCTCAGTGGCGTATAAAGAAAATACTTTCGGGAGGGGCTATTATAGACAGAGTTAAATTATCACTGCTATATAAGAATTACTAACAAGGTACAGAAGCTACTTATCTAAATTTAATTTACAGAATGTCCCAAAACGATTTGATAAACGCAATAAAATTTGTCTCAACTGATCACATTATCTATTAATATTATGAATTATTAAAACTTTTAAAATTGAAATTGGTTTACGATATTTTTATTATAATAATATAATCAATGAACTACCAAAATATATAAAACAACAAATTTTCTATGGTAAATAATGGGTGTAATGTAATTTAATAAATATATATACATATTTACATATATGTATATGTATAAGCAAGGTAAGTGAAGCCTACGCTATAGATTTCTGATTTTTTTTTTTTTTTTTTAAATGCGGGACATTATAAATCATAAATATAATATTTACTATATTTACATATGCGGCAACAATGGGAGCAGTGCAACACGATTGCGCAATTTTTCCTTTTTTGACCCGACTAATTACACCACAATTGATCCCTTTTTACTTGATAGAATCACAACACAATTGCGCACATAGGCGTGCGCAGACTTTATTCGCAGGTTATGCAATAAGAAATATAGGGCCCCTCACAAATAAATTTTCTAATCTGCCCTTAATTTATTTGCATTTTCTTTTAACGCATATAAGATTCAAGTCACAATCTAAGTTTTTGCATATATACTACTTAGCTTCTTTACTTCCCTTAGAATCTAAAATCACACATAGTTTTACAGTAGAATATTAAACAATGCACTGTAGAAATAAGTAGTTTGAAATTTGATTTATATTTATTAAAAAAAAAATGTATTATTTATTTAAGATCAAGTATGTACTATATTGAATGCTTTTGAATAATTTTAACATATTTATAATGTTGTTATTTTATGGAGAGTTCTTAAAATCTAAAGTTCAAGTCTTCTTTTTATCGGCACACATGCTTTGAATTCATCTATTACATCTTCAATATTGATTTCTGATGCCATCTTTTGTTCGATAAATATTAACATCAGTGAATCAATATGTTCTTGTAACATAGTGTTTCTAAGTTTAGACTTCACAATAGACAATTTGGAAAAGTCCCTCTCACACGAGCAGCTTGTCACAGGTATTGTTGCAAATTGTGTTAAAGCTTTATTGAAGTTTGAAAATATTGTTTTCCAGTCGTTTTCTGATAACCAATTCAGCCATACTAAAATTGTTTTATTTGATGACCCTCTAATAGAAGTTCTATCAGACATATTTGTAATGAGCTTAATTTTAGACTCAAATGTAGTATTCAAATTAAATTTTTCCTTCAACATTGAAATATCATTACTATCAAGCTTTAATTGATTTAAATTTCCTGTGGTGGTAATTAAATTTAAAGTTTCTTAACTTAATAATAAATATGGGCCCCTCGCATGAAGCCGCAGACTATGCAGCGGCATACCCTGCATAACCCGTGCGCACGCCTATGATTGCGCACCAAATGATATGTATAAACTATGTATAATAGTTATGTACAACATAAAATAATGTATACAATACATATTTTCTATAATTTGCATATACATGCACTCAAACTATTTATTCACAAAATGCACTTTTTCAAAATCGAAATGAAAAGTTGATTGAGTTAATGATAGTTGTAATAATAATATCGACTAATGATTATCAGTTAAGAAAAAAAACAATTTTTAATAAAAAAAATGTCGACTATTGACCACGTCAGTATATACATTTAGCATACATGTAATTAATAAATAAACAATTTTTAACCAAGCCAACGATAATAATTTGTTGACAGTCCTAAGCCTGTAATAATTGGGATAGAAAATTGTGAATAATAGGTAATAAGTTTGAGAGTGCATATATATGAAAATTATATGTAGAAAGTATGTATTTTATACATTATTTTATGTTATACATAAATTATTATACATAGTATATTCACATACTATTATTTAATACGCAATGGTGTTGTGATTTTATCAAGTAAAAAGGGATCGGAGCGCAATCGTGTTGTAAATTTTTTGCGCAATCGTGGTGTAATTAGTCGGGTCAAAAAGGGAAAAATTGCGCAATCGTATTGCAGCCTAATGGGAGTGGGGGTAAGGAATAGTTCTTCAAATAAAAAGTTATTATTTAATCAATTATTTATTTTTACGTTATAAGTTCTAATGTATACTTATTATTTAAATATATTAAAAGCCATGTTTAATTCTTCAAATGAATATCTACAGTAAAACAAATAATTAGAAATTCAGTATCCTAACATATACTAATTAATAATAAATCAAAATTTTAATAAATATATTATAATACTAAGTAACATTGAATCTATACATAATTTTAAATATTACTAATGAAAAAAAAATTAATATTAGGAATTTTTTTTAATAAAGATTATTAATATATTTTGTTGACACATTACAATTACCTACTTGATGTAGACATTCTCGATTAAAATTGAAAAATTAAATTAAAATTTAAGGAATAAAATACAGAATATATGGAATTCCTAGAATATATTCAGTTTTTTCTTTTGGGAAGGGGGTGATGTTTACTAAATTATAAAACTATATATTTTTGATAAAAGAACTCACATCATTGTAAAACCAATAGATTCTTTGCTTAGTTCAAAATCTAAAGAGCTCGTGGGGGATCTATCTCCCTATGTGTTAGCCCCTTTAAGGGGTGCCAACTTGTTTTTGCCCTGGGACACAAATTGTCTAAATACAACACTGTGTATGTATAACCATTGAATAATTCATGCAATTGTATCATGTGAAAAATTAATTTATTAAATATATTTTAATAATATTGATTATTGAATAACAATAATGTAATACCTAAATCGTACTTTTTAAAAATAAATTCTACGAGTTATAAAACATTAACGTCTTAACATTTTTCTTATTGATGATCACCAAGTTTTGGCAATAAATCTTTTTTATGCTTCATTGTAGATTTATATCCTGTAGTGATTAATTTATAAATTCAACTTTTCAATAATGTTGATAAATTTCAACAAATATTTGTATTTTGTATGTAATATATTATGTACCTAATACAAATTTATGGTAACAATATTCTACTTTCTAATATTTATATTTTTAATTTTTTTTTTCTAATTTTAATTATATTACTTTAAATTTAAAATAAATTGTATTTAAATAATTTTTTTTGTTTTTAGATCTAATGGAAAATAGTTCAGAACCTGTCATAGATAGTAGTAAAATGCCAAAATCATTAAGTGTATTACCGGACAATAACAACATGGAAAGTATCGTTTGACAAAAATGTGCCAAAGTTATCCATAAACTATTCATTTATAAAAGTTATTACATAAGAAATTATTTACATTTTTGTACCTGTATATTTGGAACTGTGCAATACCTATACATTTTATTTTGTTAATTTATTATTTATGTATGTGAGATGTTAATAAAATTATTCATTTACTATAAATTTTGTTTTTTTTTTTTTTTAATAAATATTTTTGCTTGATTTTAAATATTTTAAATGCTTATTTTAGTGCTTATAATGATGTTTATAAGCACTTTTTTTAAGTGCTTATTTTAATGATTTTAAGTGCTATAAATCCAAGCCCTGATTATAACAATATTACTATTAACTAAAATGATGATCTAAATTCCTGATTTTCTATAAAAACCACTATATTTTCCCATTAAAAAAATATTAAACCATATTCCATTCACTAATTTTTTTTTAAAAAAATTTCAAATTTAAGACATGAAAGACTAGAAGTATGTATGTCGAACATGACTAATTATAACTTTGTTGATAAGTTAGTTGATCTGTTAGTTTTAATTACTTTTGCTGAAATTGTTTTATTTTTTATTATACCTACCAACTAAATAACATTTCCAACAATTGATACATCTGTCTTTTATATAATTTTTATATAAACTGTGACATAGGCATAAACTGGGGGGGGGACAATGGGGGATAATTGTCCCTTAGAATAAATTAGTAGGGGTAGTGCCCCCTCTAATATTTAACATACCTTGTTTTAAAATAAATACAAAACAACTGGTTATACCTATTACTATAAATATTTTTTTATTAAATCATAATTTTTAATTTTCGCTTATCTAACATAATGTTAGAAAATGAATTTTTATAATATGTATGGAGTAAAATGGCATTTAGCCGTGGATATCCTTTTCATTAGATATGTAATTATATTTTTGCCCCCCTTCTCTAATAAATTTCCAAGTTACGCCTATACACTTTGATAAAATAATACTTCCAACTATAAATTATAAAGAAACACATAATAATGAAAGTAATAGTAATAAAATAAAGGTGTTACACTCTTTAGTACCTAGTATATTGTTTTTACCAGTCTTTTTTTAATGTTGTAATTATTATTTTTAAATAGGTAAAATAAGAAATTTGTAAGCTAATTATAACTTATGTGCCTCTCCATTGGGAATATAGGTAATTATTATGCTAAACCTAATTTTTAAGTAATTTGCATTGTATATTTTTTTTAAAATATCAAGGTCTATTGTATCTAACAGAAAAATGTATGCATAAAGCATATAACTATTAAATTAAGCTTAAATATGATAAATGGATAAATAATTTTTTTTTTTCAATAAGTTATTATCATCAAATAAGACAATTATTTTTGAAGCAAATATACCATGCCCATATAAATTGACAAAATGTGATTTTCTTAAATATGTTAAATTAGATGTTTTCATGTAAATAGTATACAGAATTTCATTTGATATTTATCATTTTTAATTATTTTTTAAAAAAAATTGTAGATATTTTATTAAAAATATTGGCTATTTATAATCTTATGTCAAGATTTATTTTATCATTTATTTAATCAATCTGATTTTTATAACTATTGTTCATTGTTTTCAGTTTATAAAATATAACATTAAGGAACCTTAAAGTCAAAGGATTAGGATGCATACAACTTTAAACTTTGGTAATATAATTTATGTACAATTATTTTAAAACATGCAAACTTTTTTTAAGCTTAGAAGTTGCAGTTCCTCTTATTTTATCTTTTGGTCATTGGTCAACAGTATACATGTAGCGTTATTAGAAGCTATAATATACTTGCAAATATACTGCTGATGATCAACATTAAGGTTTTAATAAAATTATATTCCTTAAAATCTGTAAAATGTGCATTTGGTTTTTAATAATACAATATAAAATAGTTTCCAGTAGATTTCACAAAAATTATAATATAAATACTGTATAATAATAAAGTTCAGCAGTAGTGCATGTTATGCCTTTGTGACTTATGCTATCAGTCCACCATAGAATATATTAGTTAATGATAATACTGCTATTAATTATTTATTTTATGATAAATATAAATTATCAATGGTATTACAAACAGTACAGCATATGAATACAGAATAGATGAATTATGGTACAAACGTGCAACATTTTAAATAATTTTCGCGCCAATATGTTTTATTACTGATGTGACCAATTAATATAATGAAATTAAATATTATATTATAATTATCAATGATTGTCTAAAAAAATTATACGGTTCTAGTATACTAGAGAACTTGGTGGGCATAAGAAACGTAAATGTAGAACTATTAAATTGTTAAAGAAATCTCATATATATTTCTCGGTCAATGTTTATTTTTTGTTCAATACAAAAGGACAAATATGATTTTTTTTCATTTCACCTTAAAAATACATTTCAAATCACATTAAATAATATTAAAAAAATATTATGTTATTACTAACGAACACGTTTTTAGACAAATTTTTAATTTTACAATATTTTTGAATATCTGAAAAAGTAAATTACATACTTTTTCTTCCATGATATCACCACTCTACTAAATATTCGAACAATATTATATGAGGTTATGTCGTCCATTTGATTTCATGTCCTTTAATGTGTAGTTACGTTCATTTCTTTTGAAGTTTTTCGTCTTCTTTATACGTCAAAATGGTAAGTAAAATAGAATTCATGTTAGTATTAATACTTTTTTACTATGAATTTATAATGCGTTTAATAAACATGAGATTCATAAATTTAAAAAAAGAAAAATGCCCATGTGTTGTATTTAATAGAGTACCATCAATTGCAATTTTAGAGCATTATATAGCTCCGAAATATTTTTATTTAATTTCTCTTAATGAGTTCTACTTCAGTATATCTAGTTAATTTTATTTAATTATTGTTAATTCAAGACTCGCAAGCGCCGTAATGGAGGACGGTCTAAACACGGCCGTGGACATGTTAAGCCTGTACGTTGTACCAACTGTGCTCGCTGTGTGCCTAAAGACAAGGCTATTAAGAAGTTTGTTATTCGTAACATTGTTGAAGCTGCCGCTGTTCGTGATATAACTGATGCCAGTGTATATACTTGTATGTATAACTTATATAGGTATATTAAAATTACTCAACTATCATTAATAAATATTTTGTCTATAGCATACCAATTACCAAAATTGTATGCAAAATTGCACTACTGTGTTTCTTGTGCCATCCATTCCAAAGTGGTCAGAAACAGATCCAAGGCTGATCGACGCATTAGAACACCACCAAGCCGTAACTTCCCACGTGGGGTATGAACTTGTTAATATTACTATTTATGTATTAACTTTCTTAGCTTCTATTTAAACTTAATGTTTATCTGTTAAATTCTTATACAGTAAATTCTTAATATGTCGAACATTGCTATCTTGAATTTTTTGTTATCTCAAACTACTTTGAATTTCCCTTGAAACTAGTATTACATATAATAGTGTTTTTCTCTTAATAACTTACTATAAAATTAATCGTTTTTCGTTATCTCGAGTTCATAAATAATATTTCTATTACGGTTTATAACAGAAATTGTGTAATACGTTAGTGCAGTACATTGCATACATTTTGCAGTATAGCGATTGTGATTAAGCGAATTAGTAGTCATGTTTGTGATCTTTCAAAGTTCGTTTGTTCATTTGTAGTGAAATAGAAAATAAGTGTAAATTAAAAGTTTTTTTTAATTTCGGACAAAGTTTGTTGAATACAGTTGGTTGAAAAAGGTGACTGTAAAAAATGTAAAATCACATGTAAAAATGAAATCAAAATTCCACCAAATACATTATTGTCAATTATTAAACAGAAAGAGAAAATAATTAAGTTCAATTGTGAAAGTATAAAAAAAATAAGGATATCTCCTTATTTGGAAATTGATAAATGTTTGCTAAAATGGTTTACTCAGTGTCGAGATGAAAACATATCATTAAATAGAACAATTTTACTTGAAAAAGCAGACGAATATGCACAATAACTAGGACACACTAATTTTAAAGTTCGTAGTGGATGGCTTACAAATTGGAAAAAAGACATTAAAGTATGTTGTAGATTTTCGAACTGTTTGTGGATATAAAGCTTCAGTAAACACACATTATTCAGATTGGATTAAAAATCTTCCTGACTTCTTAGCATGTTATTTTTCTTATGATATTTTTAATGTCGATGAAATGGGCTTATGTTTCAAATGCTTACCAAATAAAACATTAATGTTAGAGATAAAGAATTTTTGGGTAGAAAATATGGCAAAGAGCGCATTATTACAAATATGGTAAAAGCAAATATGTCTGGAACTGAAAAACTAAAATTATTTATCATTGGTAAAGCAAAGAAGCCTAGGTGTTTTAAAGAAATTAAATCTTTATCAGTTGACTATAGGTGAAATAAAAAGGCTTGGGTGACTTTGTTATTATTTAGTGAGTGGCTTTTAAATTTGAATAGAAAACTAGAAAATCTAGAAAATTTTAATAAAACTCGATATCCCGAAGTTTTCAATATCTCGAACTTTTTTCTGTTCCCCTTGAGATTCCACATAACGAGAATCTATTGTACAACATTTAATATTAATAAAGGTACTAGTAATTTATTTATTTCATCCCCTAATAATTAATTATATTTCTACTTCTATTCAATTATTATAAGTCATTCAATTAAGAGTTGGGTTGGGTTACCTTGGTCCTTAGACAAATTTTTCTTCTTACCCTTAATTTGCTATAATGGCCCATATTTCAATATGAGCCATGATGGTTATGATGGACTATGATGACTTTAACTTTCAGCTGTACATTTTAGACAATCAATCCAATAGGTGGCTATAGTAAGATTTCAGCCATTAATTCCAAAAATTTTTATTGTTCTTCAAGATTTTCTAGAGTACTTAACTGGCTTATGCAAGCTAGTTCAAATATTTATTTAATATTATTATTAAATTATATGTTTAATTTTATCAGTTATAAATCCAAATACTATAAACTGCTATGATTTTATTTATTTATTGCTCTACCTGTTAATTAAGATATATTCTTGGTCTAACATTTTTGGTTAATCTAATTTTGCAAATAAGAATTTTGTTGCAATAGCAAATTTAAAGTTGTAGATTTATTCTACATAGATTCTATAGACCAGTGGTTCTCAATCTTTTTTGTATGACGACATCCTAATTTAAATGTATAAAAATGGCGACACACTTAAAACATTTAATGGATTTTATTATTATTGGAAATTTTATTTAAAAATTTAAAACTTAAAAAAAATAAGTCTTAATTTACTTGATTAAAATTTAAAAAGTTCAAAGAAAGTTTTATGAGAAACAGTATTAGTTCATAAATATGCAGGCCTGCATAGATCTTCGATTCGTGGGCAAATGGTTTACAAACTTTCGCGTAATTTACTCTCGATATCTTTTTTGCTTTTTATTATTTCCAATATCGAATATGCTGATTCAGACATGTATGATGTTGAAAAGAAATTTCAATTTTCATTTTCAATTCTTATTATTCTTGTGTATTGATTTTACAGAGAAATTTGAAATGAATCATTTTGAGACATACAAAATTTAGATTTTAACGTTATATTTGATGATATTTCAAAAAAATAAGAATTAATAAGAATATAATTTTAATTTTTTTTTATATGCGGCTTTTATTATTTCATCATAATCCCGTAGTAATATACGTTCATACTTTGAAAGCTTATAATTTTAATTAATAATATTTTGGCGATACACTCTAAAGTAATACGTGACACTAGTATGTCACGACATACCGGTTGAGAACCACGGCTATAGACTAATTGTTAAGGCTTTTCGAGTTTAGAAATAGTAGAGAAAAAAATTTTGTTTTTCATTCACATTTAATATTATGACTAAACGACATTAAATTTGAAGAGTGGGGCTTCTTTCCTAATTTTAATACTTAATTTTCTATTCATGTATATAAGTATTTGTTTTTGTAGTTATTTGTAATTATCTTAATGATCAGTAAAAATATAATTATATTTTTTATTCTTAATATTTTTCAGTATAGGTCATAAATATATTCAGTACTATATGAATACCAATCGAATTATATTTTAACAAATTAGAAAATTATTAGCTTTACTTCATTATTAGTACATTGTAATTATGATAATATTTAATATATTTGCATTCAAATATCACATATAATAAGATACCATAGTTGCAATGACATTGAGATGAGTGTTTCAAATTTAAAAACATGAATAGTGTTATTTAATTTATAGTTGGACATTATTCTTGGTTCTGATAAAAATAGGGTGGTTAGTTAACATCTTATTATTTTGTGTGTGATAGTTTTTATAAATGATTGGTAATTTATTATTGTAGTTATTTTTAGTAATTTTAGTACCCAATAGGAATATATTTAAAAATACAATAGGTGAAATATTCATCAAGTATTTAAAAAATTTAAGTTCATGTTTGCTATCAATTATTAATCAAATTTTATTTTGTGTTTTAGGACAACAATCGTCAAGGAGGACAACCTCAAAGGAAAACGTAATTCCTGATGTATTTGGAGTTATAAAATTATATTATACCTTTACTTAAGATATAAAAATACATTTTATTTCTGAAAAATAATGAAATTGTTGTTTTTTCTTTAAATGTGTTAGGTTAATATTTAAATAGTCACAGCAAATTTTAATTTGGTAAATCATTACTTATTTAAAAGTATATTAGTATATTAAGTTAATTAAAAAAATAGGTCAATATATTTTAGTATCTAACGATTGGTACTTCTTCACTATTATGATTATTAATGGAATTATTGAAATTTACAAAGTTCTGTAAATATTTTATTAAGTTTTGTTTTAAGTAAAAGTTATGTAATATGTGTCTGGAAATTTCCTATATGTAAATAGCATTCAGGCAATAGTCAAAAACTGTGAGCTACTTGTTTGCCGACGACTTAAAACTTTATCGGAAAATTGAAAATTTCTCTTACTGTATTGCACTTCAGGACGATCTTATTAACCTGGTGTCGTGGTTTAACAAGATTGGGCTGCAATTTAATGTTGCAAAATGCCATTCTATGTCATTTCTAAGGCATCGCTCGTCAATTAATTACACATAATAAATGTAACAAGTTTAATTCTTGTGTATAGTAAAAAAGACTTGGGATGTCATATTTAACACGGATCTCAACTTCCATACACATACTGAAAACATATGTTGTAAAGCATTAAAAACACTTGGATTCATAATACGTGTATCTAAGGAGTTCAATCTATCGTCTTCATTGAAAACTGTATATTGCTCTCTTGTCCGTTCCATATTAGAGATACCTCAGTCTTGAGGGACCCTTATACGATTTCAGATTCGAGTAGTTTCAAAATGTTGGGGTAGTCTTACAATAGCCGCTAATCTCTATCACAAAAATGACTAAAAATCGTCTGATGCATAACTCGCAGGCCCGACGAGAGGTGGCTAGTTGGTGCTAGAATCTTGGGGTCCCGGTTTGGTTAAAACTACCAAGTCTTATATTTTACTCTTGATTTCTCTCCACGACCTTGCTGACACGTAGATTTTGAGTTCAAAATTTAACTTCTCATTGTAACGGATATGTTACGTATTGGTGAAACTATAGCAAAACAATCTAAAAGTTAATTTTGTGGATACCTCACTAAGTTAATTTGCATGCAATGTTTAATGTTGACATGACATGGAACTTCATTTACATTTAAATGTTACTTGTGAGTTTAATGATTTGTATTTAACATTACAATTGAGATATTAATGGTACCTATATAAATAATTTACTTTCATATAAAGTTATAGGTAGGTATCAAATGTGACATTTTTGAAAACGTCAGTAACCACCAAAAAACGCGCCACTGGCAGTTGATCGAATTAAAAGAATACGCGTTTTTAAATTAAAAACCATATAATATGAATGATGTCGCGCGTTCAACATGTCTGGTCACTCGAAAAGATTAGAACGGTGCGGCCAACTTTGTGGCGCCACCAAATGTGAAACCCTTAATTTAATTATTAATATCTTTTGGTGGCGCTGCTATGGTGGCTTCGCGTAAAAAAATTATAGGTTTATCTTATCTAAAACGTACAACACTATAAAAACTTTCATAGACGTCGCATTTAAGTCACAGGCGAGTTGGTATCGGTATGATTTATTTTCATATCGTGTTAATAATGTTTATTCGTTTTGACGATCTGTTCAGAGTCAGACGCCCAAGAAGCAAGGACTCAGCATACTTTTAAAATTACTTTTTAGTATATACTTTTACAATTTACAATTGTTTAATAGGTTAAAAAAATTATTAAATATCCCAACTCTAATATAATGTTGGAAGTTAGCAAATTTCATGAATGTTATGCAATGTTTGATTCCCCTATAAAGTCAACTGAGGTAAGATGTTTTTATGTAAATATTTCAAAAGCCCTGTTAATCACTAATGATCACTTACAACGTACTAATATAATTGCCTATACTGAACCCCTTAAAAACGGTCCATTTGCAGTGTCCTTCACAGTAACACAAATTAAATTGCAAAGCCAATTTTTCAACCGCTTTATTGTGTTTATTATTTTTAACAAACGGTTCAATGTTTCAGTGAACTTTTCAGAGAAATGTTAAAGAGAAAACTTTATAAGTGCTGTGAGAGTTAAAGGAACTGAGTCCCCCTGCGTTCCCCTCCACTTTAAATTCTTCCAACAGACCGATCGTGACTATTATTTTAGAAAAAAAATTTAAATTTATGTTTTTTGTAAAGTTTTATATTTTTATTCAACCATAGCCATCCCAAGGGGGGGGGGAATGGGGCAAGTGCCCTAGGGCGTCCAAAGTGTTATGAATTTACTTGAGTATTAATTTATATAAATTAAAAATAATTATTGCTTATAAATTATAAATCATATAATTTTTTAGTGTTCAATCTAGAATAAGAGACTTACACCCTGAAGCAGTTTTTATTCATCGTATGACTTTTAAATTGAATTTGGTTACAACATTTACTTGTAGAACCATAAGGTACATATACAAGGAAATTATATCTAAATATATCTTTATATCCAAGGTTATGACACAAATAAAACAAATTACAATTATCAATATTGGTCTTCTCGTACATGTTACATATACTATATTGGATGAAATTATAAGACACTTTGAGTTAATGATTTAAAAGAGAGTTAAGCGCTTGCAAATTCAATAGACAATTTAATTTAATTACATTTTAATAAAAGCATAGTGTTTCTTGTTCATTACCAAGTATTAGTCAACTTTAATAAATACATATAAATGAAATATAATAATTGTTTAATACTTTTATAATTGTAATAATGTATTTATTTTATTATGTAAGTACTTTTCTTTCGATATTTTTACTTGGTATCGAATCGAATGAAAATACCGATATGAGTAAAATATCGAAACAAAAGAACCGATATGTGTAAGTATAGAAAGATATCTCCCCGTTATCTCGGTCTGGATCCGCCCCTGGGTCATATATTATTATATTGTTTGTGGTCGTGGTGTGGCTGTAGTGTGGTTACGTCGGCGACAGCTGGAACACATAAAAGTGGTTCAAAAGTGGTCGTTCCAGCGACCGCACAATTACACGCCAACCGCAAAAAAACGCTCAAAAGTGGTCCATGTGCCTAAACCCTAAATTAGCAAAATAGGAATAAGACCCGTAAATATGCAAAAAAAGTAGCAAAATTAAATTTTGTGTATAATATCCGAGTAACGTGAAACATATTTGTATCTTACTTTCGATGTTCTAGGATGAACCAAGAAAAATATACATTTTCTAGAACTTCCGAGCCCTGATAATAATGCATAGAATGTTGTCGTAATAGTGTTTTTATTTTTTGTCTGCTGGCCGGATAAAATTTGCTAGCGGGCCTCCATTTGGTGACCCATGTTATAGACTATAGTGTGATGACTGATTTATATAAACGAATCCTCTACCACGCGCGCAAACCATTTTACTAGAAAAGAATTATTGTTCGATACCATTCGACCACTTTTGATTTTCGAACCAATATGGCGGTTAGTAAATGATTCGATACCAGTATTTTTCTTATCGATATGAGTAAAGTATCGAAACCATAGGTATCGATACAAAAAGTACTTGTATCGGAAAAAAAGTATCGATACTTTATTGGTATCGGTAGTATCGCAACGTCCCTAGTCATACGTATTTTGTAACATTGTGTAATGCGAAAGTACAACAGTCTACGAGTAGCCGACTACAAAGTTTTACTTCGGAGTTTAAAGATACATTTACATGCGATAGACACGTTTTATTTTTTGTACTATGTGGTCATTTTTTTTTTTTTTTTTTAATGCATATAAATGCATATTATAATGATTTTAGAAGCAAATTTGCATGCATATTTGTGTATTTTTTAGAACTAAAAGTCCCTAAGCCTATTGATAACTAATAGCAATATTATTCTATGAAACCAATTTTCAGCTTTTTTTGTTTAATGGATCGTCATAGCTCAATAGCTGGAGACCGGGAATTTTTTGCTTTACATCGTGAATTAAGTTCGTTGTAGTTGAAAACTATTATGCAGTGCTCGACTTGGCAAAATTAAAGAAAAGGGACTCTGTTAACTTTGAAAAAAAAAGCGTCCCTAAAACTTGTTAAGCGTTATAATTTTAACGTAATTAAAGTAGAAGGACGCAAACATTTCTGAAAATTATTTGAGGTACTCCGTCTCCCTGCGTCCTCCCACAAGTCGAGCACTGCTACTATATAATTACTTATTTTAAAAATTATACAAAACTTTTTGTATAGTCGTTTTTAATTTTTTATTTAAAATAAAAACAGTAAAAAGAAAAGGAGGAGCTGCTCGAAAAAAAGAAAAAAAGAAAAAACAGTTATTGGAAGTCAGTAAGAAATGTGCAAAATAAAAATTCATTTTTTTTAATAAATACTTCAGGTAGGTATCTATTGGCTATTTATTTAACTATTATATTTAAGAAGTGCTCTAGTTTGTAATTCGATCATCCAAATTCAGGCACGTAGCGAGGAGGTGGGTCCATGGGGTCTCGACCCCCCACCAAATTTTTTAATATTCCCACCAAAAAATTAGATGGTACTTTGATTTTGTACCAATTACATTTTAAAAGTAACGATAAAAAAAAATATATATATATATAGGTTTAAATAATACTGTACATATTCGTATTTTTATATTTTTTTCATTTATTTAAGATTGGTTTGCTTAATTAAAATTGAGTATTACATTATTCTACATTAATAAAAACTAAATACTGAACAACTTTCATATGAGTTATATTCAATTTAATTCATGGAACATCAATGATCCATTGATATTCCAAGAATTTATGGAATATCATATTATATATAGTTCGTTATCGGCGCTTGTCCCGTTGTCTGTCTGAAGGCATCACAGATATATATAATTAGATTTATTATATATATATATATATATCTGTTGGAGTCATCAACTAAAGATAACATTTTGATTTTATTTGTATACCTAACTAAACATAGTATTACATTTATATTTTTCACTGATAATAATTATTGTTCACTGTGATAGTTGCCAAGAAGAATGAACATTCA